GGAGGGAGGGAGCCTTAGAGGGATACAAAGTGAATAAACTGTAACTAATAAAAATAAAAATAAATTTAAAAAAAGATGTAGTCTTGTAAGAGAAATGCTAATTAACAGACATAAAAAGGGGGAGACAAGTAAACAGATCAACTGTGCTTAGCCCACCTCAGAGAAGAGTTCCTAAGTATAAAAACAATGCGCAAGCTGAGTGTACTTTGTCATGCCTTTAATTCCAACAACCCTCAGGAGGCAGAGGCAGGCATAGCTCATAGCGCTGGATGGTAGCCTGGTCTATGCAATGAGTTCCAGAATAGTCAGGTGCAGATAATACTCTGCAAAAATTAATCAAACCAAAAATAAATAGAAAAAACTGACAGATCTTTGCTCAAGTTTCTACAAAGAGCTATTCATTCTATCTAGTTATGTGCACATCTTCTAGAAATATTAATATGATCTTCCTAAAATGAAATCTATGTTTAAACAGTTACAAAAAAACCAGATGAAGGCATCAGCAATGTAAATGTTTATCAAAAATAGGCAACATGGGGCATGAGAGTTGACTCAGCAGTGAAAACGTTTCGCCGGTCTTGCAAATAATTGGTCCTGATTGCCAGTACCTACATAAATGTGGGAATCAGGAACCACCGGGAACTGGAGTGAGTGGCAACAGAGTCCATACAGAATCCTGGGAAGCAAACTCCAGAGACAGGACTAAAAGGGGCAGATCTAACTTTATTGTCCATTGTAACAGCCTTTAAATGACTGAAAGCCCAATCAGAACATCCCTTGCTAGCCTCAAGTACCATGTGGGAGTTGAGTGGAGAGACAAGGTCAGGTTAGGAGACTCCATAAAGAAGGGGAAGCAGTCATAGCCCTTGACTCCAATCCATTCTGACACTTCATTAGTGTGCTAGCAGTCCCTATTAGATCAACACTGTGTGCACTGGATCAGGACCTTTCAGGACTCATAGGAATCACTGAAGCTTCACTTGCCATTCCCTATGGGTCTCTGAAAGGCTTACCTTGACATACATAGGAGTGTACTCTTATCCATTACTCGAAGTTCAGGAGTTCTGAGGCCATCTTCTGACTACTATGAGGACCAGACACAAATGAAGTACTTATAGAAAAATAGTAGTATTCATTAAAAAATTTTAAGACAACCACTAAAAAGGAAAAAAAAAATCACACAGTTGAAATAATATGACTCAGAAGATTCAAGTAGTATTAATATCATGACAAAGATCAATACAAGAGTATATGCTTGACATGTACAAAACCTACATTCCAGGACTATCAGATAATATAAAAACAAAATAAAAATGCCTGGTATGTGAGCCACAACTTCCATAAGATTAACTCTAAATGGATCTTACACCTGAATGTTAAATGCTAAGGTCAGAACTTGTCAAAGATTTTAGAGAAATAAGTGCTCTCTTGGTTTGGCATCTTAACAAAGATGCTTCTACACACAAGCCCCTGCTCCAAAATTTTTACCTAAATGTAGCCTCATAGTGAAGTTCTTCAGAGCCCACCCTGGGTCAAAGAAATGACTAAGACCACAAGAGACCTTGGAGGTGGCTGCACATGGTCGCTGCTTACCACACAATTTCAGTGAGTATCCACCCTAGCAGCTCCTGGAGCTCAGCTTCTTGCTCTTCCCCGTTGTGGGCAGTGAACCTGAACTCACCCTGTTGCAACTTCAAATCTTGCCAGACCTCCCCTCACAGTACCCTGTGGTGCTCAGAGGTGCTGCAGCAAGCTCAGAAATGGCAGAACCTGCAGCTTGGAGCCTGGAAGAACATGCCTCCTCTTATGCCTGCAGACCCTAAATGAGCAGTGTGTCTTGAGTGACATGAGCCCCTCAGGGTTAGTGTGTGTTGAAGGGGAAAAGCATAGCACTACCAATCCTAGGCTTCCAGTTCAGGCCCATGCCTTTTCCAGATCTGCACACATTTGCATTTCAGTAGTCATTGTGCCTGTCTTCCCATAGCTTACTTATCTGTCTTCCCATCCAGCCTCAGGCAGGACCCTCCACTCCAGCTAGCTGTGTTCAGCAGCCTGCTCCTTCCATTTGTGAGCAATGACCCTCCATTCACCACTTTGGGATTTCAGAACTTGCTCTAGCTTCCTTCACAATATCCAGCAGCAGCTTTTACATCTCATCACACATGGACATTCCACTCAGAAACAGAGCAGAACCTAGAGCTGGGCACCCAGAAGGACCTGCCTTCTTTTCTGCCTAGATGCCCTGATCGGCCAGTGAGTCATTAGTGACATGAGTCCCTCTCTTAGGGATAGAGTGTGCTTAGGGACACAGTATAATACTACCAGGCCCAGGTTTCCAGCTGAGTGCTGGACCTTTTCCACACCTGCAGAGATTTGCATTTCAGGAGCACTTGTGTCTGTCTTCCATCTGTCTTCCCAACTATTCCCAGGCAGGTACCACCACTCCATCTAGCTTTGATCAGCAACCTGCTCATCCCAGTTATGGGCAGTACCCTCCACTCACTATGTCCGGACTTTGGAACTTGCTTGAGGTTCCCTCAGAACACCTAGCACCAGCGTTCAGAACACTTCACATGGAATCATTCGAGCCTGATCAGCTACAAAGCAGAACGTCTAGCAAGACTCCATGAAGAACTTGGCTCCTAGCGCAACAGGCAACTCTCACCAATGGACCAATCCTCCAGATAAAACCCATACTGTTGCCCCGCCTGCTCACATGGGAAGCTGTCCTGGGACTTGGGAGCCTAGGAACAAGACAGTTCTGAGAAGAGACGGTATCCCAATGAAAAGGTGTGTGGAACCATAGAATGGCTGTTTGACTTCTGCCTGCTTGGAATCTATGATGCGCATTGTGCCTTGCATGGTACAGTGAGTTTCCATCTCTGGACTGCAGGTGCTGCTTTGAGCTTTGTAGAGGTTTGTTTAACGAAAGATTTGGCAAGGTATTCATATGAGAACTTGCCTCTTGCTTACCTGGTAATGTTCATTCTGCTTCTATTTTATGGAATACTTTGAAGAGAATTGGAGTTAGCTCTTTTTGAAGGTCTGTAAAATTCTGCACTGAAGCCCTCTGGCCCTGGGTTTTCTGTAAGGGAGACTTTTGAGACTGCTTCTCTTTCCTTGGGGCCTATAGGACTATTTAATCTATTTACCTGATCTTGATTTAATTTTGGTAAATGAAATCTATCAAGAAAATTGTCCATTTTGTTTATATTTTCAAATTTTGTGGCATATAGACTTTTGAAGTAAGTCCTAATGACTGTTTGGATTTCCTCAGTGTCTTTCATTATTTTCCCTTTATTATTTCTGATTTCGCTGATTTGGATAGTTTCTCTCTGCCTTTTAGTTAGTTTGCATAAGGGTTTGTCTATCTTGTTGATTTTCTCAAAGAACCAGCTCTGGGTCTCATTGATTTTTTTTTGAATTGTTTTCTTTGTTTCTAATTTATTGATTACAGCTCTGCGTTTGATTATTTCCAATTGTCTACTCCTCTTGGGTGTGTCTGCTTGTTTTTTTTCCTAGGGATTTTAGGTGTGTCATTAATTTGCTTGTATGAAACATCTTAAACTTCTTTCTGCTGGCATTTTGTCCTATAAACTTCCTCTTAGCACTGCTTTCATTTTGTCCCATAAGATTTTATTACTATTTCTTTGTAATACAACTTGAAGTCAGGGATGGTGATACCTCCAGAAGTTCTTTTATTATACAAAAAAAGTTTAAGCTATTTTGTTTTTGTTTTGGTGTTCCATATGAAATTGAGAATTGTTCTTTCAAGGTCTATGAAAAATTGTGTTGGTATTTTGATAGCAAGTGTCTTGAATCTGTAGATTGCTTTTAGTAGGATGGCCGTTTTTACTATGTTAATTCTACCGATCCATAAGCATGGCACTCTTTCTATCTTCTGATATCTTCTTCAATTTCTTTTTTCAGAGACATGAAGTTCTTGTCATAGAGGCCTTTCTCTTGCTTGGGTAGTTACACCAAGATATATTATTTCTGGCTATTGTGAATGATGTTGTTTCCCTAATTTTGTTATCAGCCCATTTACCATCTATACGCATGTGGATTACTGATTTTATGAGTTAATTTTATAACAGCCAGTATACTGAAGGGGTTTATCAACAGTAGAAGATCTATGGTAAAAATTTGTGGGTCACTTATATATATTACTATATCATCTGTGAATAGGGATATTTTGACTTCTTCCTTTCCAATTTGGACCCCTTGATCTTAAAGTACTACACTGAAAAGATAAGAAGAAGGTGGGCAGCCTTGTATTGTCCCTGACTTTAGTGTAATTGCTTTGAGTTTCTCCCCATTTAATTTGATTTTGGTTATCAGCTTGTTGTATATTACCTTTATTATGTTTATGTATTGGCCTTGTATCCCTGATCTTTACAGGGCTTTTATCATGAAGTGGTGCTTGATTTTATAAAAAAATTTTTTTTCTCATCTAATGAGATGAACATGTTTATTTTTTTTCTTTCAGTGAATTACAGTGATGGATTTAAATATGTTAAACTATCCCTGCATCCATGGGATTATGCCTACTTGATCATGGTGGATGATGTATTTGATGTGGTCTTGAACTGGGTTTACCAGTATCTTATTGAATATTTTTTCAGCAAAGTCCATAAGGGAAAAGGGTTTGAACTTTTCTTTCTTTGTTGGGTCCTTGTGTGGTTTAGGTACCAGTGTGACTGTGGGAGTCATAGGATGAGTTTGGCAATGTTCCTTCTGTTTGATTTTGTAAAATGGGTTCAGATAGAATAGGTGCAGAAGTACTGCTATGAGCTCATCTTTGAAAGTCTGGTAGAATTCCATGCTAAAGCCATCTGGTTCTGGGATGATGATGATGATGATGATGATGATGATGATGATGATGATGATTTTATTACTTGGTTGGGAGACTTCTGATGACTGCTTTTATATTCCTAGAGGTTACAGGATTGTTTTGTTATGCCAGGTTCACGGGACCCTCAGAGACCTCCAGGAGATGACTCGATGCAATTGCAAGAGAGCTTTATTATGAGAGGGATCGAACTTGGGACCCAAGTCTCACCAGCACAGCAGTAGAGAAGTGGGACCCCGAGCTCTGAGTGAACAGGATTTTTAAAGGGAAAGTCTGTGAACCTGGGGTTTCCATGGCAGCAAGCAGGAGGGCACAAGCCTTGGCATTACAGAATTGGGTGAAGTTTAGCAGGGCGGGGTGACCTTTTCTGAGGCACATAATCACAATGGCTAAGGCATATAATCACAATGGCTATTTTTCTAAACCATATCTGAAACACTGGGGAGAATTTTCCCACCCGATTCTCAACCAGTTCCCATTGATTATTGCCAGAGAGTTTGTCTCTATTTTCTATGAAGCATTTATTCTGTTATATTTCCTGGAGGCTGTTGCTAGGAGAGTTAACTTTGTTTTCTGCCAGGTATATATTCTGTGATATTTCCTGGTACCTGAATTCAGTTCCCAGTCAAGATCTTTATTTCAAAATGGAGTTATATTCAGGCTATCTTAAGCTCTTCAGTTTAACTTGCTTATCTGATCTTGATTTAACTTTGGTAAGTGAAATCTATCACGAAAACCTTCTATTTCCTTTAGATTTTCCAAACTTGTGGAATACAGTGTTTTGAAATAAGATGTAATGGTTCTTTGGAGTTATTCCCTATGTTCATTTCTGATTTTATTTAGATACTGTCTCTCTGACATTTTGTTAGTTTGTCTAGAGGTATGTCTATCTTGTTGATGATCTCAAAAAAAAAACAGCTCTTGATTTCACTGATTCATTGTATTGTTTCCATTTTTTCTATGATACTGATTTCATCCATGAGTTTGATTATTTCCTGCTGTCTACTCCTTTTGGGAGTATTTACTTCTGTCTCTTCTAGAGCTTTTAGATGTGTTTTTAAATTGTTGCTATGAGAATTCATTAATTCTTTTTAGGAAGGCAGTTAATGCTATGAAACTTCTCCTTAGTACTGCTTTCATTGTGTCCCAGAAGTTTAGGTGCCTCGACCTGCGGGGCTTCAACAGGGTTCCTAAAGTGGAGAGATTGGAAGGAATGGGGGGGGGAAGGGACAAGAGATGCAGGAATGAAAGCCAAGTCTGTTCATCTGATCAAGGCTTCCATTTATTAGAAATTTTTACCCAACTTATATAGGGAGAAGGCAGGAAGGGGGAAGGTTAATCTACTGCTGCAGGAAATAGGAAGAGTGCTTTCATGGGTTAAATATTGTACCTGCAAGATACCATAAGGATGGTTTCTAAAGATATCTTACAGATGCTCTAACAAACGGATGTCCTCACAATCTATCACCCATGATTTAGGGTCTTAGATAACTCTTTCACTAAATAGCCTTAGGTCTCCACTAAATGACCTTTGCTCTCTACTTGGCTTTGGCTTCAGTAACTACCTTTGTCTCCACTAGATAGCTTTGGCTCACTAATTGACTTTGGCTTCCATAGATACCTTTGTCTCCACTAGATAGCTTTGACTTTGGCTTCTGTAGATAGTTTGGCTTCCAGAATTTAGATATGTTGTCCCTTCATTTTCAATGAATTCTAGAAAATCTTTTATTTGTTTCTTCCCTGACCCAGTAGTCACTGAGTTGTTCAGTTTCCATGAGCTTTTTTAGGTTTTCTCTTGTTTCCATTGCTATTGAAATCTAGCTTTAATCCATGGTGGTCTGATAAGAAACAAGGGATTATTTCAACTTTCTTGTACCTGTTGAGGCTTGCTTTCTGACCAAGTCAATGGGCAACTTTGGAGAAGCTTCTGTGAGGTGCTGAAAAGAAGGTATATTCCTTTTTGTCTGGGTGAAAATTCTGTAGATGATTGTTAAATCCGTTTGATCTGTGCTTCTGTTAGTTTAATTGTTTCTCTATTTAGTTTCTGTCTTCATGACCTCTCCTTTGGTGAGTGTGAGGTTTTGAAGTCTCCCTCTATTACTGTGGCAGCATTAGTGTATGATTTAAGCTTTAGTAATGTTACTTTTACAAATGTAGGTGCCCTTGTATTTGGAGTAAAATATTTAGAATTAAGACATCATTTTGGTGGATTTTTGCTGTCATATGTATCCTTTTGCTATGATATGTGTCCTTTCCCATCTCTTTTGAATAAATTCAGTTAAAATATTATTTTACTAGATATTAGGATGGCTTTTTTCAACTTGCTTCTTGGGTCAGTTTCCTTGAAAAACCTATTTCTAGCACTTCACTCTGAGGTAATGTCCTCCTTTGTTTTTAAGATGTGTTTTTTTTTGTATGCAGCAGATTGAAAAGTCCTGTTTATGCATCTATTCTGTCAGTCTGTGTCCTTTTATTGAAGAATTGAGTCCAGTGATGTTGAGTGATATTCATGATTAACTATTAGTAGTGCCTGTTATTTTGATTTTTATTGTTGCAGTGAGTTTGTGTGTTTCTCTTTTGGTTTTGCAGCAGCGGTGTTATTTTCTGTGTTTCTGTGGGTGTTGTTTACTTCCTTTGGTTGGGGTTTTCCTTGTAGTATCTTCTGTACAGTTGTGAAGAATAGACACTGGCATTTTCAAATCCACAGCACAGCCTCTCACTTTCTGCGGAGTCACTACAGTCCAAGCCTTAGTAACCATGTGCACTGGATGCTGCCATTTTGGATCCTCTTCAATTCTATATCTTCTAAAAGAAAATATTATTTTTTGGTGCTGGAGAAAGACACAGGACCTTTTTCCAACTAAGGACATGCTACACACTATACTAGCTTCCATCTCATACACAATATCTCTACTTGTGTTCAGTAGCTCTTGCATTATTTCTATGGGGAATAATTTTAATCTCACTAAACAACTAAGAAGGCAAACAAACTAAGCACCTTCAAAAAGAAACCCATGTTAGAGAGAGGGAAAATGAACTTCTCTTTAAAGTCAGCCAGTAATCTGTGTGGGCCACTCATATCATATGATGTCTCTCTTCAGCTGTATCCATTTCTGAGGAAAATTAAACTTATACATGCTGCTGGAGATGAAATAAGCTTTGATGAGAACAAGAATATTATGGAAACGTATGATGTATAAAACTTTATTGCATATAGTTTTCAAAATATATTACTACTTAAAGTGGCAGAGTTTGCCTTCAAGAGTGCACAAGATCAAGGCTTTTTCATCAGTGAAGTTCTGATTCAATGGCCAAGCAACTTCAGACAGGTCTGGAAATTTTTCAGTATTTAATATGAAGGGAATTATTTGTAAAGAATTATAAAAATTGATTGTGTAATGATTCTTTGAACTTTTAAAATAATTGTGAAATTTTAATTTCTTAGCTCTTCTGTGACTGTGAGCTTATGTGTGGGTGTTAATGCACAGGACCACATGTGCTTGTTAAGTCCACAGTCAACTGTGGTTATCTTCCTCAGTTGGCTGTCAACTTTATTTTTATCTCTGTGGAACGCTTACTTTCTGATTTTGCTGAACTCAATGGACAGCATTACCTAGGTTCTCTCTGTCTTCATGATTACAAAGTTTGGATTACAGTCCTATTTTTTTTGCACCCAACTTTTCTTCCATCCTTTCATCATAATCAAATTCATGTTTTCATGCTTATGTGGCAAGCATGTTAAATACCAAATCAACTCTTCAGTACTGTTTGGTGACTTTAAGTCGGAATTAATTTAGTGAATTATAAATGTATGAATGAATGAATGCATGCTCATGGCTATATAGAGGCATGTATGTGTGTTTCTATATGTAAACACACACATGCACACAAACTTTTGCAAATTTTCACATATCTTATTTATACAGGCTAGCTGATGCTCAAGCATCCTTCCATTCACACAACTCATACTCAAGCATATCAATAGTTTTACAAGGTTGTGAGCTATCATAAACAATTAATAAATTATGAATTTGGACACAAAACATTTCTGTAAACAATGGATATTAACTGCCCAATATGTGTGTCAGGAACTGAACTCATATTTCAGTGCAAGAGCTGTATGCACTCTTAACAGCTGATCCAGTTATCCAGAAGCATATTCCTGTTAATATATAAATATTTAGTAGACAGAAACTGCATCCAAACCAAGGCAGAAAAGAGGTCTAAGATTTCCTGTCCTACAAAATTTCTAACTAATAAAACTAAAATTGCATTAGAATTTTATTAGTTAACGTGATTAACTAAGAATGCAACTGGTGGAAATCCCATTTGATGACATCACTAACATTTGAAAAGAAAGACGTAGAACATTCCCTAGCATAGGGAGTCAAGGGTAAAAGTCACAGTAACAGATTATAATTCACTAATGGCCAAACCATCTCTCATGAGAAAATTGAACTTCCTTTTGCAGCTGAATCAGAGGGCAGGGGTGTTACTACAAGACTGGAAATATAAAGGTAGAAACAAGTGTGCTTGGAGGCAAGTGTGATTGGATTCTTGTCTTAAAATCCAACTGTTCCATAATTCATACAATAAAATGAGTTCTGGCTTGCTGCCTCACAGGAGAGAATATGTTGATGTCCTACACATTTCACACAGGATAGGCAATAGTGAGTCATAGCCTGGTCACCATAAAGGGATGTTGAATATTTAGTATTGGAAAGTGTGGTAACTTTAAATCTCCATTTTACATTCCCACATTAAAACCTCAGAGTTCCTCATACATAAATACAATTTCCATAGGTTACATGCATTTAGCTTAAAGTATTTTAAACTGATGTTCGATATCATAACCAGTTTTTCTGTGTTGCCTTCAGACTCCTCAATCTGTACGTACACAGAGTTGTGATTCTGGAAAGTTCTACAAAAACAAACCTGCCTGCTGTTTTTCTTGTGTATTTTGTCCAGAGCAGCACATTTCCAACCAGACAGGGAGAAAAATAATACTTTTACTCAAACTGCTTGGGAATGGAGATGGGGAAAGTTAAGTGACCGTGGTGTCATAATGTAGTGCTGTTTCCTATGACTCTATCACTCATCACTAAATCCATTATTAATCATTGCTGAAGCCACACAATGTGTGAAGTTTAGAGTGGCAATTCCAATACTATTGTGTCATATGCACCCTAATTTTAAAAACCTCCCTTTTGGTGCATGGAATGGCCATTTCAGATCTTTCAGTGTTCCATGCTATAAACTCCCCATTAAATGTGAGATCTTCAGTTATCTAGGATCAATTTGTATTTCTGTGATTAACAAATTAACAAATCATTAACCTAATGATTAATGCCTCAAAATAACTCCAGGAAAAGTGTGGTTGTTTCTGAATGCACAAGAAACCGAACTATATTTATGACACAGCTGTCATTTTCAGTATCAACAATAGAAAAAGCAAGTCTTTGTAAATGAAAATATGGCTGCCTGTTTAGGGTTGTGGTCAGCTGTGTGATAACATATACAAGTAACATCATAACATTATATGGAATGAGCAAGTTACATTTTTAAATACAAACATACATACAAAGACACAAACACATTTAATGGGAAAAGAGGTCATGTATTTGAGAGCAAATAAATATAAGGTGGGTCCAGAAGAAGGTTTAGAGCAAAGAAAATGAAGAGGCATAGTAAGGTAATTATGTTATTTCTAAAATGAAAATTTTTACAAAAAATAAAAAGTCAGAAGGAAAATACATTAATATAATGATGAGAATCTACTATTTATTATATTAAAAAGGCCAATCCTTAGACAACCATAATACAAACAGAACTTTTTATGTTTTATTGCAAACAATCAAATGTTGAAAATTTAATTATTCTTTATATTCTAAGCTCTAATGCTATCATAGGTTAAATTCCTTGCAGAGTGATACATGACTTCGAGTCCTATGTTAAAAAGATATGGAGAGAATGGCCAAGATGAAAAACTCAAGGGACAACACATGCTGGAGAAGTTGTGGAGAAAAGGGAACCCTTCTCCATTGCTAGTGGGAATGTAAACTTGTACAACCACTCTGGAAATCAATCTGGCGCTTTCTCAGACAACTAGGAATAGCGCTTCCTCAAGATCCAGCCATACCACTCCTAGGCATATATCCAAAAGAGGCTCAAGTACACAAAAAGGACATTTGCTCAACCATGTTTGTAGCAGCTTTATTTGTAATAGCCAGAAGCTGGAAACAACCCAGATGCCCCTCAACTGAAGAATGGATGCAGAAACTGTGGTACATCTATACAATGGAGTATTACTCAGCAATGAAAAATAAGGAAATCATGAAATTTGCAGGTAAATGGTGGGACCTGGAAAGGATCATCCTGAGTGAGTTGTCCCAGAAGCAAAAAGACACGCATGGTATATACTCACTCATATAAACATACAACATAGAATAAACCCACTAAAATCTGTATATCTAAACAAACTAAGCAAAAGAGAGGACCCTAACTAAAATGTTCAATCCCCATCCTGAAAGGCAAAGAGGACGGACCTCAGAAGAAAAAGAAAATAGGAAACAACCTAGGAACCTGCTACAGAGGGCCTAATTTCAGTGGGATTGATTTGAGTTTCACTCCGTTTAGTTGAATGTTGGCTATAGGCTTGCTGTATATTGACTTTACTATGTTTAGGCGTGTGCCTTGTGTCCCTGATCTCTCCAAAATTTTAAACATGAACAGGCATTGTTGGCATCTATGGAAATGATCATGTGATTCTTTTCCTTCTGTTTGTTTACATGGTGAATTACACTGATGGATTTCCATAGACTGAAACACTCCTGCATGCCTGGTATAAAGCCTATGTGATAGTGGTGGATAATATCTTTTATGTGTTCTTGTATTTGGTTTGCAAGTATTTTACTGAGTATTTTTGTGTCAATGTTCATGAGGGAAATTGGTCTGAAGTTCATGTGTTTCTTGGGTCTTGACTGTGACATGAGTGTGGCTTCACAGAATTAATTTGTTAATGTTCCACTTCTGTTTTGTGGGATAGTTTAAAGAGTATTGGTATTAACTCTTCTTTGAACGTCTGGTGGAAATTTGAGCTGAAACTATCTGGCCCTGGGCTTTTTTGGATGGGGACTTTTGATGACTTCCTCTATTTCCTTAGAGGAAATAGGACTTTTTATTTACCTGATCTTAATTTAACTTTGGTAAGTGGTCCACAGGGGTCCTGGATCAGATCGACTCCATTTCCTGGATGACCTGTCCAGAACAGGAAGCAGCAAAGTTGATGCACTGTATCTAGCCACCTGTCCATACACTGGTCTCAGAGTCTCTGAATCTCTGCCCCTCGGATACAGTACCTCCCCCCCCCCCCGGTTTCCACCATCTTGGAGTCTCCTTTTTTTTTTTTATCTTTCATCCTTCCTTTCTTTTATGGTGGGAGCCTTCTGTGACCTTTTGAATTTCCTCATGGGTCTGTTTAGTTCTATTTAGGTTGTTGAATTATTGTGGAATTAGTTTTTGAATAATGGTTGCTTGGGCGAATCTAAAACTTATCCATCTCATGTACATTTTTAAGCTTACTGGAATATACTATGTTTTAAAAATGTTTCCTTAGAATATTCTGAATTTCGTTGGTTTCTGTAGTAATGTTTTTCTGTAATTTCTGATTCTGTTAACTTGAGTACTTAACAAAACAAAACAAGTTTTGTTTTGGCACACAAAAGAGTCAGAGATAGCTTTAGTCTTGTTGTTAGGTGTCCCCATAAAAACCAAGCTGCACAGCTGTTACATATATGCAGATAGCC